TAATTCCGTAAGTTTTCCATCAAATTTCATACTTTTGGTGTCATTATGATTGGGAAAAGATTAGAGAATGTTTTCATAAGAAAAAATAATTTTTTTTTTTTTTTTAAATTTGTCGACCCAGAGAACAAGTCTGGGAGAGGGCCTGTCGACCCTGAAAGGGTTAATTGATTCTGAGAAACAGGCAATAAAGCTATAAAATCATCAGAGAAAGCACCTCTAAGTTGCAATTTTAAACCAAACACAGAGTGAGTTTTCCTTTTCCCTTCATGCACTTTGTGGGGCAGGATTTTTTATACTGTGTACACTTGCCACACAGACCCATTCTCTCATATCTTGGCCAAAATTTACAACTCGCAGCTTATCTGAGTGAGCTAAGTTTATGACGTAGGTCAACATGAGGGATCCTAGCATCAATAATATAGTTCTATATGATGGCCAATAATAAGGTTAAATTGGAAAGTACAGTTTTGCCTGAAGTTTTGTACAACTCCCAACTCGAACAATTATGCAAGTGCTTTTGTAAGTGTATTTTTGGGGGTCTAAAATGGACTAATCTAATTTACATCATTCGTTATGGGAACAAATTCGTTTGGTTACAGCATTTGAACAACCTTCTGGAATGAATTATGGCTGAAATGCACCATAAATAAAGTGAAAACAAAGATATTGGTAAAATAAAAATAGCATTGCTGTTGTGGTATATCTTGAGATTTTTAACCTTTTCACTGTCTCCCACATAGATCTATGCCATCGATGCCAGTGTCGCTCAGGTACATCTGCATTTCAAACACAGTTCCCTCAGGTATTATAAACAGTAGATTTTGGCCTAGACATGAGAGAATGGGTCAGTGCAGCAAGTGTGCACAGTCTAAAATATGCTGCTCACTCAGTGTATGATGGGAATAAGCAAACCCCTGACCTTGTGTTTGGTTTAAAATAATGAATTTGAAGTGTTTTCAAGTGTTGGTTTTATTGACTATTTCTTCGTAGCAATAGATAGAATGAAGACATACTGGTGAAACAGAAATGATTTTGGTCAGTTTCAAACCAGAAATGGCCCTGAAAGTGGCAGAAATATTCTGTGTAAGATAATTTTCCTGAGGAAGGGGAGGGGCTCCCTTAGCAATCCAGACCTGGGTTGTGTTGTAGGTTTTAATTAGGTCTGCTTTAATTATTAGGGTGACCTAAACCATGACCAATTATTCATGGTTTATTTTATCATCCAAGTTTTATTTTTATCATCAAGTTTTTGTGTTGATGGATTCAAAATGGAGGACAGTTGTATTTTTTTGTATATAGGAAAAGCCTGGGTACATGACTAATGAACAGAGGAAAGATTGGATTAGTGGCTGGAATACATACATTGTTTATTTTGGACTCTGTTTTTAAAATGGATTTTTTTTAAGTTTGTGTAAAATTGGCCAAATTACTGTCTTTTGTGAACCTTATAAAGTAGTTCTGATTATTGAATGAGTGATTTCTTGTGCTTAATTGATAGAACTTAACCCTTAAACTGTCCAAGCGTAGATCTACATTTTTTCAACATTTGAAAGTATGTAAAAAAAGTAGATCTTTTTTTTTTACATTTGAAAAATTGTAAAAAAAAAAGTTTGATCTATGTTTTTTTTTTTTTTTATATTTGAAAATATGTAAAAAAAAAACGTAGATCTACTTTTGGAGCACTATGCATGTGAACATAGATCTGCTTGGACAGTTTAAGGGTTAAGGTATACCAGTGACAGAGCTAGGAATTGGTTTGAACTGAGCAAAATAGGACTTACAGTGGGCAAAATTGCCACTGCATAAATTTCTCCCACACCACCAGCTATGTACCTGCATAATTCTGTAAGTTTTCCATCAAATTTTGCATTTTTGATGTCAATACCTTTAGAAAAAGACCCTTTAAGATTTCAGAAAATGTGTAAATTCGAGAATTATGTGGATTAAAGTAAAGGTTGGATGCGAGAAGTGGGTCATAATAAGCGTGTATGCACCTGGAGAAGAGAGGAATGCAGAGGAGAGAGAGAGATTTTGGGAGATGTTAAGTGAATGTATAGGAGCCTTTGAACCAAGTGAGAGAGTAATTGTGGTAGGGGACCTGAATGCTAAAGTAGGAGAAACTTTTAGAGAGGGTGTGGTAGGTAAGTTTGGGGTGCCAGGTGTAAATGATAATGGGAGCCCTTTGATTGAACTTTGTATAGAAAGGGGTTTAGTTATAGGTAATACATATTTTAAGAAAAAGAGGATAAATAAGTATACACGATATGATGTAGGGCGAAATGACAGTAGTTTGTTGGATTATGTATTAGTAGATAAAAGACTGTTGAGTAGACTTCAGGATGTACATGTTTATAGAGGGGCCACAGATATATCAGATCACTTTCTAGTTGTAGCTACACTGAGAGTAAAAGGTAGATGGGATACAAGGAGAATAGAAGCATCAGGGAAGAGAGAGGTGAAGGTTTATAAACTAAAAGAGGAGGCAGTTAGGGTAAGATATAAACAGCTATTGGAGGATAGATGGGCTAATGAGAGCATAGGCAATGGGGTCGAAGAGGAATGGGGTAGGTTTAAAAATGTAGTGTTAGAGTGTTCAGCAGAAGTTTGTGGTTACAGGAAAGTGGGTGCAGGAGGGAAGAGGAGCGATTGGTGGAATGATGATGTAAAGAGAGTAGTAAGGGAGAAAAAGTTAGCATATGAGAAGTTTTTACAAAGTAGAAGTGATGCAAGGAGGGAAGAGTATATGGAGAAAAAGAGAGAGGTTAAGAGAGTGGTGAAGCAATGTAAAAAGAGAGCAAATGAGAGAGTGGGTGAGCTGTTATCAACAAATTTTGTTGAAAATAAGAAAAAGTTTTGGAGTGAGATTAACAAGTTAAGGAAGCCTAGAGAACAAATGGATTTGTCAGTTAAAAATAGGAGAGGAGAGTTATTAAATGGAGAGTTAGAGGTATTGGGAAGATGGAGGGAATATTTTGAGGAATTGTTAAATGTTGATGAAGATAGGGAAGCTGTGATTTCGTGTATAGGGCAAGGAGGAATAACATCTTGTAGGAGTGAGGAAGAGCCAGTTGTGAGTGTGGGGGAAGTTCGTGAGGCAGTAGGTAAAATGAAAGGGGGTAAGGCAGCCGGGATTGATGGGATAAAGATAGAAATGTTAAAAGCAGGTGGGGATATAGTTTTGGAGTGGTTGGTGCAATTAGTTAATAAATGTATGGAAGAGGGTAAGGTACCTAGGGATTGGCAGAGAGCATGCATAGTTCCTTTGTATAAAGGCAAAGGGGATAAAAGAGAGTGCAAAAAATTATAGGGGGATAAGTCTGTTGAGTGTACCTGGTAAAGTGTATGGTAGAGTTATAATTGAAAGAATTAAGAGTAAGACGGAGAATAGGATAGCAGATGAACAAGGAGGCTTTAGGAAAGGTAGGGGGTGTGTGGACCAGGTGTTTACAGTGAAACATATAAGTGAACAGTATTTAGATAAGGCTAAAGAGGTCTTTGTGGCATTTATGGATTTGGAAAAGGCGTATGACAGGGTGGATAGGGGGCAATGTGGCAGATGTTGCAAGTGTATGGTGTAGGAGGTAGGTTACTGAAAGCAGTGAAGAGTTTTTACGAGGATAGTGAGGCTCAAGTTAGAGTATGTAGAAAAGAGGGAAATTTTTTCCCAGTAAAAGTAGGCCTTAGACAAGGATGTGTGATGTCACCGTGGTTGTTTAATATATTTATAGATGGGGTTGTAAGAGAAGTAAATGCGAGGGTCTTGGCAAGAGGCGTGGAGTTAAAAGATAAAGAATCACACACAGGGTGGGAGTTGTCACAGCTGCTCTTTGCTGATGACACTGTGCTCTTGGGAGATTCTGAAGAGAAGCTGCAGAGATTGGTGGATGAATTTGGTAGGGTGTGCAAAAGAAGAAAATTAAAGGTGAATACAGGAAAGAGTAAGGTTATGAGGATAACAAAAAGATTAGGTGATGAAAGATTGAATATCAGATTGGAGGGAGAGAGTATGGAGGAGGTGAACGTATTCAGATATTTGGGAGTGGACGTGTCAGCGGATGGGTCTATGAAAGATGAGGTGAATCATAGAATTGATGAGGGAAAAAAGAGTGAGTGGTGCACTTAGGAGTCTGTGGAGACAGAGAACTTTGTCCTTGGAGGCAAAGAGGGGAATGTATGAGAGTATAGTTTTACCAACGCTCTTATATGGGTGTGAAGCATGGGTGATGAATGTTGCAGCGAGGAGAAGGCTGGAGGCAGTGGAGATGTCATGTCTGAGGGCAATGTGTGGTGTGAATATAATGCAGAGAATTCGTAGTTTGGAAGTTAGGAGGAGGTGCGGGATTACCAAAACTGTTGTCCAGAGGGCTGAGGAAGGGTTGTTGAGGTGGTTCGGACATGTAGAGAGAATGGAGCGAAACAGAATAACTTCAAGAGTGTATCAGTCTGTAGTGGAAGGAAGGCGGGGTAGGGGTCGGCCTAGGAAGGGTTGGAGGGAGGGGGTAAAGGAGGTTTTGTGTGCGAGGGGCTTGGACTTCCAGCAGGCATGCGTGAGCGTGTTTGATAGGAGTGAATGGAGACAAATGGTTTTTAATACTTGACGTGCTGTTGGAGTGTGAGCAAAGTAACATTTATGAAGGGATTCAGGGAAACCGGCAGGCCGGACTTGAGTCCTGGAGATGGGAAGTACAGTGCCTGCACTCTGAAGGAGGGGTGTTAATGTTGCAGTTTAAAAACTGTAGTGTAAAGCACCCTTCTGGCAAGACAGTGATGGAGTGAATGATGGTGAAAGTTTTTCTTTTTCGGGCCACCCTGCCTTGGTGGGAATCGGCCAGTGTGATAATAAAATAAAAATAAAATAAAAATTGGGACACTTTCAGCATGCTTAATTTCAGGCATTGCAACAGTGAAAGGTTCAAGAAAACCAATTTATAAAATTTTATATATGTAGTATTATAATATAGAATAATATTACAGTGATTAAAACTGTTTTTTTTTTTCAGGTTGGAATGAGCTACTAATTGCTTCCTTCTCACACCGAAGCATGGGAGTTGAAGACGGCATTGTGTTAGCTACTGGACTGGTGGTAACTGTCAAACAATACTTTATACAAACTTACTCTCTCTGTAAAGCAAAATTATTGTTTAATGTTTGAAGATAATACATACATACACTGTGTAACTCATACACTGCTGTACATTTTAACAGACACATACACTACTGTACATTATAGCAAATATACATGCACTATTGTACATTATAACAGCCACATGTACTACTGTACATTATAGCAGACACATACACTACTGTACATTATAACAGAAACAAACACTACTGTACATTATAACAGACACACACACTACTGTACATTACAACACATACACTGTACAGTAGGGCCCCGCTTTACGGCGTTCCGCTAATACGGACATTTCAGATTATAACCAAAACTCACTATACAGCTCCTCCCACCTGACTCTCTAATACAGTCACCATGCGCCACCTGGTTTGTTTACATTCTCCATCAGCACGTCTCTCCATTATATCTGGAGACTTTCCAAAACTTCAAGTGTTTTAAAGTTACTGCGTATTTTATATATACTCTGACAATTATACTTACGTGTACCTGTACCTGAATAAACTTACACACAGTGGTGGTGTGCAGGTACATATTAAAATTACTAAGAGTGTCTTATTAGTCTTGAAGACACCGTGTTAATAATGATAATAATCTGCAATAATAATAAATGAGATGCCTTAAATGTCGTATATTACGTTAATATAGACATTTTCATTAATCCAGCTATGATATTTTTTCAAAATTATACAGTGGACCCTCATTTATCGTAATTAATCCATTTCAGAGTGTCACTAAAGCCTTCTCCTTCTGCTATAGCTCCGCCCATTTTGTTACGATGCCAAATGGTGAATTACGCACATTAGAAAAAAAAAATAAAATAAAAATGAAACTCCAACTTGATAAATTTACAGTGGACCCTTAGTTATTGTCTGTAATCCTTTCCAGAAGCTCGGCCTAAAATCGAAATGGCCGAAAACCGAAATAATATTTCCCATAAGAATTAATGTAATTACAATTAATCTGTTCCAGACAAAAATATTCACCAAAAAAATAATTTTTTTAACAATTAAATCAGTATTACATGTCTTTATTGAAGACTAATGCTGGCTTCTGGAATGCCTGCTACACTACCTGCATCCCGGTTATATTCCCTGCATGTCTGATACACTCCCTGCATGTCTGCTACACATCCTGTATGTCCGCTACACTTCCTGCATGTCTGCTACACTTCCTGCATGTCTGCTACATTTCCTGTATGTCTGGTACACTTCCTGCATGTCTGCTACACTTCCTGCATGCCTGCTACACTTCCTGCATGTCTGCTACACTTCCTGCATGCCTGCTACACTTCCTGCATGCCTGCTACACTTCCTGCATGCCTGCTACACTTCCTGCATGCCTGCTACACTTCCTGCATGCCTGCTACACTTCCTGCATGCCTGCTACACTTCCTGCATGCCTGCTACACTTCCTGTATGTCTGCTACACTCCCTGCATGCCTGCTACACTTCCTGTATGTCTGCTACACTCCCTGCATGCCTGCTACACTCCCTGCATGCCTGCTACACTCCCTGCATGCCTGCTACACTCCCTGCATGCCTGTTACACTCCCTGCATGCCTGCTACACTCCCTGCATGCCTGCTACACTCCCTGCATGCCTGCTACACTCCCTGCATGCCTGCTACACTCCCTGCATGCCTGTTACACTCCTTGCATGCCTGCTACACTTCTTGCATGCCTGCTACACTTCCTGCATGCCTGCTACACTTCCTGCATGCTTGCCACACTCCCTGCATGCCTGCTACACCCACTGCATGCCTGCTACACTCCTTGCATGTCTGCTACACTTCCTGCATGCCTGCTACACTTCCTGCATGCCTGCTACACTTCCTGCATGTCTGCTATACTCCCTGCATGCCTGCTACACTCCCTGCATAGCTGTTACACTCCCTGCATGCCTATTACACTCCCTACATGCCTGCTACACTCCCTTCATAGCTGTTACACTCCCTGCATGCCTATTACACTCCCTACATGCCTGCTACACTCCCTTCATAGCTGTTACACTCCCTGCATGCCTATTACACTCCCTACATGCCTGCTACACTCTCTGCATGCCTGCTACACTTCACGCTTAAATTCCATGGTGTTTTTCACTTTCTTTACCGCAGGAACTTTACTAGGAACTTTCTTTGGAGCGATGGTTACTTATTTTGCAGTTGCACTGCAAAAAACCCACAAAAAACACTGGAAAACAAGTGAAATGTTTGGATGCATGAGCAGAAGCTTCCTCACACACCGAAAGACACAGCCAAACTGACACACAAGCGGCCCCAGCCGATGAACGGACGTGTCCCAAATGGCCGATCACCGAATTAACGGCCAATAACCGGGCGCCAAAAAAACGGCTGATCACCAAGTTGGCTGATAACAGCAGTGGTCGATAACCGGGGGTCCATTGTATTTTAATTTGCAGAACTTACATGTTACTGAAAACAATAAAAAGTAAAATAGTACACATACAGCAAGTTGTATGTGTACTAATAGCTTAAGAACCTGGCAATATTTTGGTATAAATATCATCTTTGTACCATGTTTCTACAAAGAATTATAGTCATTTTACAAAAATTATTTTTATGACATGGTGATTAACCCTTTCAGGGTCCGTCCCGTAGATCTACGGCTTTACATTCAGGATCCAAACCGTAGATCTATGGCAAAATTCTAGCGGCGTCAAATTTAGTGCAAGAAGGCTGGTAGGCGTACATCTGAGAGAATGGGTCTGGGTGGTCAGTGTGCACACCATAGAAAAAATCTGGATGCCCGCATGGCATTGTGGGAACGCCGGCAAAGTAGCTTTGTTCATAGTGCCTGGCGGCAAGGAAGCTCTCACTCCCCACTCACTCTCTGGGCGAATTCTGACTCTCCTCTTCACAACTTACAGTTCTAAGACTGATGGAAGTGGAGATGAAGACGAATTCTATGGTTTTGAACCATATGGTACCATTGTGCCATATGGTACAATGGTACCATATGGTACAATGGTGCCTTGTCATACAATGGTATATGGTGCAATGGTATCGTATGGTAGAGTGGTACCATATGGTACAATGTACCATCTCTTTATTATCATCTGCACTACATCCATACACATTCAAACATTCCATCTTTATAAAGTTTTTCTTCTTACTTTTTTTATTAACACATCTGCCATCTCCCACCGAGGCAGGACGACCCAAAAATCACTTACTCCATGCCACTGGCATGCTGGCATTACAGTTCTTAATTCAGTAATACATACAGGAGAAAGAGTTACTAGCCACTTGCTCCCGGCATTTTAGCTACCTTTTACAACACACATAACTTGTGGAGGAAGGATTGTTTTCTACTTTCCCATGGAGATGAAAGATAAATAAATAAGAACAAGAACTATCAAGAAAATAGAGAAAAACTCCGGTGAGTGTGTATACGTATACAGTGGAACCTTGGTTTTCATATGCCCTAGTTTGTATGTACAACAATAGTTATTCTCTATAAAATGTATTTTTTGTTAATATTTTTGGGTGTCTGGAATGGATTAATTGGATTTACAGTGGACCCCGACTTATGATATTAATCCATTCCAAAGAGCACATTATAAGACGAAATTATTGTAAGTCAAATTAATTTTCCCCATAAGAAATAATGGAAATCAAATTAATCTGTTCAAGACACCCAAAAGTACGAAAAAATTATTTTTTACCACATGAAATATACATTTTCCTACACACAAAAAGAAGGATACATGCACAATATATATTGTGCATGTACAGTGGACCCCCGCCTTATGATATCAATCCGTTCATGAGAGCTCATCGCAAGACGAAATTATCATATGGCGAATTAATTTTCCCCCTAAGAAATAATGGAAATCAAATTTATCCGTGAAAGACACCACAAAGCATGAAAAAAAAAAATTTACCACATGAAATATTAATTTTAATACACACAAACTTAAGAAGACATGCACAAATATAATACGTACTCTACTAAGAATAGAATACATGACACTTAACCTTTATTGAAGATCTGGTGATGATTGATGGGATGGGAGGAGGGGAGTGTGGAATTTGTTATTGTTTAGAAGGGGAATCCCCTTCCAATAGGACTTGAGGTATCAAGTCTTTTTCCAGGGTTACTTCCCTTCTTCTTTTAATGCCACTAGGACCAGCTTGAGAGTCACTGGGCCTCTGTTGCACAACATATCTGTCCATAGAGGCCTGTACCTCCTGTTCCTTTAAGACTTTCCTAAAATGGGCCATAACAGTGTCATTGTAATAGTCGCCAGCACGGCTTGCAGTAGCTGTGTCAGGGTGATTTTCATCCGCAAAGGTTTGCAGTTCAACCCATTTTGCACACATTTCCTTAATCTTTGAAGTAGGCAACTTCCTCAGTTTCTCTATCCCCTCCTCTGAAGCAGTTTCCTCAGGTCTGGCCTCTTGCTGTTGAAGATGGTCTTGCAGCTCTTCAGTGGTTAGTTCTTCACTGTCCTCCTCCACCAACTCTTCCACATCCTCCCCACTAACCTCCAACCCCAAGGACTTCCCCAATGCCACAATGGATTCAACAACTGGCATAGGCTTCTCAGGGTTAGCCCCAAACCCTTCAAAACCTCTTTCTTCTACACATTATGGCCACAGTTTCTTCCAAGCAGAGTTCAAGGTCCTCTTAGTCACTCCCTCCCAAGCCTTACCTATAAGGTATACACAACTGAGGATGTTAAAGTGATCTTTCCAAAACTCTTTTAGAGTCAATCGAGTGTCTGAGGTCACTTCAAAGCACCTTTCAAACATAGCTTTTGTGTAGAGTTTTCTGAAGTTTGAAATGAGCTGCTGGTCCATGGGCTGCAGGAGAGGAGTGGTATTAGGAGGCAAAAACTTGACTTTAATGAAGCTTATGTCCCCACAAAGTCGCGTGAGGCAAGTTTTTTAGCGTGAGGCAAGGCAAAATTTTTGCGTTCAAATGTATCGTGTGGTGGATTTAACGTAATGTAACGCGATGCCATTGCAAGGCGGGGGTCCACTGTACTCGTGTACTAAATGAAGAATAAATGACACTTACCTTTATTGAAGATGGGGTGATGAGTGATGAGACACTGTGTCCTGGGAGCGCCTTTTCCTCCTGAGCAATGTAGGTCCTGTTTGGCATTTTCTTCCAGAATAGGCCTTATCACACTGTGCATGCCACTACGATTCTTAAATCTCTCAAACCAACCTTTGCTGACCTTAAATTCGCCAATATGAGCACTAGTTCCAGGCATTTTTTCCTGTTCACCTGGATGTTAGTCGACTGGTGTGGGTTGCATCCTGGGGGACAAGATTAAGGACCCCAACAGAAATAAGTCAGACAGTCCTCGATGACACACTGACTTTCTTGGGTTATCCCGGGTGGCTAACCCTCTGGGTTAATTGTTTCTCGGTATTCTCAGTAAGCCACACCAACAACAGTCTCTCCACATCGAGTAGCACAGCTGACCATGGTGCAGCAGCAGCAGCAACTGACCATGGTGCAGCAGCAGCTGACCGTGGTGCAGCAGCAGCTGACCTGGTATGATAGCATTTCGATAGTATTTCTCACCCTTTTTACCACAGGGTTGGCACTAGAAGCTTTCTTTGGGCCCTAAAAAACACTAAAAACACTAGAATAATACAAAATTTATCAAATGTATGCATGCAACCATCCGCCCCGGCTTGTAAACAATGTCACATTAGCTCAGCTGAGGCGCTGAGGCCAGACAGACGCGTGGACATGTACGCAATAAAACTAGGCATTAAAAAACAATAAAAAGTAAAATATGCACACAGTACACTCACTACTTTCCTTAAAAATAATTGTAGTCTTAATGTTTGGTGAGACGTGAGTAGTATTTATTGTAAGAAAACAGTTATGGTAGGTATGGAAGCTCTCCTGGCCACCCCACCCACACGTAATATACTATGACATTTAAAGTGCCCCAGAGCGATAAAGTGCATATACAGTACACTCATTACTTAAAACATTTGTAGTCGTAATGTAGGGTGAGAGGTGGTAGTATTTATTGTAAGAGGCCTGGTGTGGTAGATACGGCCACCCCACCCACACGTAATATACACTTAAAGTGCCCTAGACCGATAAAATGCATATATGTACAATACACTCATTACTTACCTTAAAATATTTGTAGTCTTAATGTAGGGTGAGAGGTGAGTAAACGAGATAATACGAATAAATGAGAGAGAGTAAA